ATGATCCTACACAATTCTCTAATGATTGTTTATAATTGGCATTTCATTCTGATTCCTAATTTTGAACTATGTCTTCTTCTTCAATCTCCTCAGTTTCGTACTCCTCATGTTCTGCTTCAGATGATGACAAGAATTGTGGTTCCTCAATGTCTGTGTCGTTATTGTCAATGCTTTGAGCGGGGATTGTCTCTAGTGGAGCTGTAATGTCAACAAGGATACGATGGGAAAATGTGGAAACAAATAAGGAAGAAGCCCCTTGATGAGGTTTGGCTTATTGTGGGCAAATGTGCTTAAAGCCAATAGAGCAGCTCTCAACATGTTGCATGGTCATGATAACAATCATTAAAACCAAATAAGCATCTTCCACTAAGCCACGAATACACATACAACAAATTCAAAAATAAAAAAACTGGGTTACATTTCTTGTAATGGTATTTAGATAGGTCATTACAAACTCACCCTGTCATTATCCTTGAGTAAATGACAATTATAGCTCGAGTAAATGCATCTGGACTGGTTGTCCTAACCTATAAATTTAGAATATACAAAAACAACCATAAAATATAAAACATGGAAGTCACAAGCATAAGTACATAATAACAATAGAAAATTCATATGCCTCAAGTGCAGGAACAAGTTTTACAGATTCAATAAGCACAAATTATCCCAAACACTTAACCACTACATTGTGTACCCCTTCTTCCTCACTTTCACAGTGGTTGAAGAGCAAATTAAGTATTTTCTCAACATAAGACTCTTGAAATTATGCTTTATCCACAGATTGCCTCACATTACCTGCCATGTAGGGGCATGGAATTGCATATATACTAGATATTGAGACAAACCACAACCAATCTGAGATAACATTTAGTTAAGGCAACACAAATGGAGATAGATATACTATTATCAAGTAAGCATTTAAGACAAGAAAATCACCAGTTCATTCATGTAAGCTTCTGGCATATTAAAAAAAATTATAAACAATTGGTGTTAGACATCATTGACTCCTCACATGCAAATAAAAACTTAAGCCAACAAGTCATAATGAAATAACTAGAAAGTAAAAACACAATGAAATGAGGAGAAAAGTATCAAAAAGTTCACTGAAGTACAAACAGATGACTACATTGTCATACTCCATTAACGAAGGCAGAAGATTCGAAACTATACCTCTGTGAAGAAGGAAGAAAAGAAAAAAAGAAATATCTAGAGCTGTCGAACGAGTCTCTGCCAAGAAGAACCACAGGCCGATGATGACAATATCAAAGATGGGGATCGTGAAGAAGAAGAAGAAGAAGAAAAAAAAAAACTTACAAATAGAGATGAGGCTATGGTGTGCGAAAATGTGGTGGGAAACTGAAGCTGAACCTTACACAGATATGAGAAACTGTCATGGGAAACAGAAGAGCTAAATCAAAGTGAGAATGAAGAAGAAAAAAAGAAGCTTACAAACAGAGATAGTGCTAGCATTGGGTATGCGAAAATGTGGTGGGAAGTAGGAACACCACTGTTCGAAAATGTGGTGGGAAACCTGATGGGATAATGCTGTGGGTGGGATCCCCGCCCGCTCATCGGGGAGCGGGACCCCCATCGGGCGGCCATTGGCCGCACCACCCACTAGAGGTGTTATCTGAACGCAAAGTATAAATAAGACTTATTGTAGTTATAAATTTTATCATTTAACCCCAGAGGTCTTAAACAACTTGTGGTTAAAAAATATATCACCTATACACTTGTAGTCTTATAAATATAAAAATATTTACTTTTTCTATAATTTATTTTATATAATTATGATATTATCAAATAAAATTAATAATTAAATATCACATTAAATAATATTTCAAATTATTTATTTTGAAATTAATTTACAAATTATCTTAATTTTTTTATTCATTTTGTAAATATATTTTTTATTAAAAAATTTCTGTTTAAGATAAATTAAATATGTATTATTAAAATAAGATATTCCATTTTAAAAATTTTATAATGATATCGGTTAAAAAAAAGATAAAATAAAATAATATTTGATATGAAATTTTGTCAAAATGTCTAAGTGATATATTTTTAGATCACAATGAGTGTAAGTGAAAATTTGAAATCACTGTGGGTTAAATGATAAATTGTTTAATCACAATGGGTCTAAGTGAGAAGTTTAAAATCACACTGGATCAAATGATAAATCATATAAACCCCATTGAGTGAAAGTGAAGTTTTTCCTAAAATAATATGAATGTGTACCATGTAATTATATTTACAAGTCATCTTAAAAAATAATTTTAATTATAATATTTTTTTTGGTAAAACAAATTATAATAAATTTAATATTACTGTAATTAGTAATTTAAGAAAAAATAATAATTAAAATATTTAAAAAGTTTTAGTTCGAACAATTTTAGAACAAAATACTTTAATATAAATATACTAATAATTTAAAAAATATAACAATATAAATATATCGGACATGACTTTAATGATTATATAAAATTAATATTTTTTATTCAAATAATATCTAAAATTAAGACTCAAGAGGTAGCCGTGCATGGTAATAATAAGATGACACTAGGGGCAATGAGGCCACTTTCTATTTACAAATTTTCTAACATACTCTCTCTATTCCCTCCATCATTCTCACCCCTATTCACTCTCAATCTATTGGTCACTCTTTCTTCTCTTTTCTTTCCATCGAACCAACATTGAAGGGGCAAGAGGAGCTTCTGCATAACTTGTGTCTATGAATCACTTCCTCACTTGCAGCCTTGGTTGCCTTATTCCTCTTTGCTTTGAAGTGTTGATGTAAGCTCCGTGGTCCATTGTAGCTTGTGATGGGTTTTATTAAAATTAATTTGTTAGGGTTTAATGAATATTTGGGGATTCTTAGGTTTGGATGTTTAATGAATAATTGATAATTGAACCTTGAAGGAAATTGGGGTAAGTGCCCTTTTCATGAGATATTGTCATTTGAATAATGGTATTAATAATTTATAGTATAAAATGTCTTGTTGACTGGTTTTCCACCTTGTTAATAGATTGTGTTAGTGTTGATTTTTGTGATATTGAGTTGTTGGCCAAAAGGAGTTGGAGAACAAGCCTTAAAGTGTAAGCTCTTGATCGTGGGGGTTAATCCCTTTGTTGTTCCATCATACTCTATAAGAAGTAGTGATTTTTATAGATTTATATACGTTGTGTGTTTAATTGAGTGACTATTGATATATATAGGTAAAATCATTTCTGCAGCCTCTTTATGTACAACAACGACAAGTGTATGGTTATAATTCCCCATATTTAATGCTTTCATCTTTTGTATGGTTATGATTCCCCGCATTTAATCTTTCAAGTATACATATGGCAAGTATTTGATTGCTGCACGTACATCAGTTGCAGAAATGTAAAACCCATATATATATATAGGGTTCGCTTTTTCTGCAGTTACTGCAGATAACTTATCTGCAGTAAACCTAATACGACGTCGTTTTGGGACGGAAATCATGGTATTTTTGTAATTTTAATTTATTTCAGGGTTATAATAGTATTTATATTTATAATTTTTTAAAATTTCAATACCAAAACGACGTTGTTTTGGGAATAAATGCAGATAACTTATCTGCATTAACTGCAGAAACATTTTTCCCTATATATATATAGGGTTTGGTGTTTGTCATTTTAAATGACATAAGTTATGTCATTTTAGGAGAAAAATAGACACATAAAAATGGAAATCATGGGAGAGAGAAAGTGAGTGATTTTTTTTTTAAATTTTTGACGAAATTTTGTTTCCATCGAAACATTTCACAAATTTAATTTCTTTAAATATTTTTTTTTTAAATTTGTGACGAAATTCGTGAATTTTTTTGACGGATTTCATTGTTCGTCAAAAACATTCACAAATTAACTTTTTTAAAACATTTATTTATTTTTTAAATTTTTTACGAAATTTCTTTTATGTCAAAAATTTTAATGAAAAAGAATTTTGTCGGAATTTTCGATAGAACTCATTTTCCGTCGAAAATGTTCAATAATTTAATTTCATTAAATATATTTATTTTTCTAAAATTTTAGACGAAATTCATTTTTCGTCAAAAGTATTCACACATTTAATTTTAAACATTTAATTTTTTTAAAAATTTCGTTGGAAATGTTTTTCCAAAGAAAATTTTAATGGAATTCTTTTTTCGTCAAAAACGTTCACAAATTTAATTTCTTCAAAAATTTATTTTTTTAATTTTTGATGGAATTTTTTCGTTGAAAGTTTTCACAAATTTAATTTCTTTAAACATTTTTTTTTTAAATTTTTTGACGGAATTCATTTTTCATCAATTTTTTTTACGGAATCTATTTTCATTCAATTGTTTTTGTCGGAATCACTTTTCCATTTCAAATTTCGACGGAACATATTTTCTGTCAATAATTTTGATGAAAAAAATTTCGTCGAAAAAATCCATCTATAATAATGACTTTTCTAGTAGTGCTATATGTGAAGAAGGGAGAGAAAAAAAAATGAACCTCCGTACACTTTTACTTTTTTACTTATATACGTAGAAGATAATTTTTATTTCTTATGTAATCACCTTTAAATGGTATATATTTTGAAATGAACGGGGAAATAGAATAAATTATGTTATTGACAAGGTTTGATGTTTGTTATTTTAAATGACATAAGTTATGTCTTTTTAGAAGAGAGATAGACACATAAAAACATAAATCATGGGAGAGAGAAAGTGAGTGATTTTTTAATTTAAAATTTAAATAAAAGAAATTATTATGTGTTTAACTCTATCTTAAAATGACATAATTTTATGTCATTTAAAATGACAAATACTTTTCCCTAAATTTAATAGAACAAATTTATTATTAATTAATTAATAATTTTGAATAACTTATAATCACACCCTTGATGATTTTCCCCTCGCATATTCGCATGTAAAGACGATTCTGGCTAGGTGTACCTTAAAATAATCCTAATTTTTATTTATGTTCATTAAGTATTTTCGATTGGGCATCGATTTGCAGAGAAAATGAGTAGCGCCATGATCAAAGAGGCACTGATTAACTCAAACAGCAATAATCTCTATTTCTCTCTTAGGGCTGCATTCTTTCATTCCACTCCTCTCTTGCAACGTAAAAGGCGCAATTTTTGGGACTCTGTTAGTTTCTTTCCCTTTTATCTCTCTCAATTCCTTTTGCTTTATGATGTCATTTCATTTGATTCAACAAGTTTTTCTGTCCTCGTAATTATTTTATTAATTGAATGGAAATCATTGATAGTGGGGTTCACGAATTCCCTGCTTATGATTTTGAGTTTTTATTTTTTACAATTTGGGAAATGTTTCTAAGCCAAAATGTTATTTTTAGCATGTATTGTTGTCATAAGAGGCTGTATAGTTATTAGGAGTATGGAGTTTTTAGATATTGAGGAGGATGTGGAAGTTGAATGTAGTTTGGTTATGTGGAAGCATTATTTAAATGAGAAACTGTTTAATTGCAGAGATGCAACCGTTATTCGAGAAGATTTAGAAAGATTCATGCAAAACAAAGAATACTGCGCAGTGTCAATGATTATGCAGACTTCCTGTTTCAGGTTCATGATGCTTATTGTCCGTCTTGCGTCTGCAAACTTTCCTGCACAATGTTAATGCATGCAAAACAAACATATCTTAATGTTGCCCTCTCTCCCTCTTGTATGTGTGTGTGTGTGTGTGTATGCACTATGCAGCTTCTTGTTTTTTTTTTGTTTTTTTTTGCTTCTTGTTCACTTAACATCTAAGATATTGATTCTTGGATGAGGCAGTCATATGATTTCTGTCATTGGTTTCTTTCCAATCATTACAGACTCAAACAATTATTAGATTTGTCACTTTACTGGGTTTTTTGGAAGAAATATGATCAGTGGTGAATAACCTTGTGCTTAGCATTTAGGATCTGCTACAATTTGTCTAGATGGGCTAAATATTTTTGTAATGCTTTGTGAGTAAAATGGTTTATGACAGAAATTATAATGTGAATTGTCAGGCTTGATTTATACTTTAAAAATTGTGACACATGATAAATGAGCGTGTAATTCAAGGTTATTTTATGGGCTAACATTGGCTATTTGGCTTCATAAATTTCATAAAGTGTGGGAAAGGAGGTATGAGGGAATCCTTTTTTTGCTATCAGATATCATATTTGATTTTCAGAAGTTCCCTTCGATAGGTTATTTCTTTATTTGTTTCACATATCTGCTGATAGTAGCTTTGTTTGAGAACTATTTGGAGAAGACTGTCAAGTAACAAGTCTGAGTTGTGCTACTTTGGAAGAGTACATTGTAGGATTTAGGATTTAAATTTTATGGAGGTGTTTTCATTTTCCTTATTCAGCCAAGGGGTCTGAAGGAGTATCTGATTGTTAATAGGTTGGATTGGGAAACTAAAAGACAATTTGATGTATGTGTATTTGCAAGTCATAACAGTCTGCTGGTCTTTATGGACCTGGTGAAACAATTTCTTTAAAGAGGATTTTGCTTGTTCTGGTGATCCTATTGTGGAGGCTGTTAAGGTTGTAAGCTTGATCGTTGCTTCTGTTGCTGTTGTAACTAAAGGCAACTCCATCTCAGAGGTTAGGTTGGTGAAGTGGTGATGGTCTTATAGGGGTGGTTCACTGATGGATGCTTGTGATGGTAAATCCTGAGAAAGCTGGCTTTGGGGGTTTGCTGAGGGATGAGTAGGGTAATTGGCTAAAGGGTTTTAGAGGCAGGTTGGTAATTTATTCCTGTTTCAAATCAGAGTGCTGGGGTTTGTTTTATGGCTTGAGGATGGTGTGGGACATAGGATTTATTAGGATTGGCAGAGTGTAATTTCTTGGTGCCGGTGCACCATGTCATGGATGACATTTGTAACCTCAATGGCATGTCTACATTTTTTCTCACCTAAGGTCCATGCTTGTGTGGGAATGGAAGCTTTGTAATCCTCAAATATACCTAAGAGGCTAATCAAGGAGCTGATTGGCTAAGCTGCTCTGGGACGTGGCTTGTCCAGAGCTATCTCCAGTGCTCTGTGATGATCTGAGCTGGTTCTAGTAGCCCCATGGCTGTTGCTTGAGTTTTCTGATTTCTTTTTTGGGCATTTAGGCCTGTTTATCTACCCAAAACAAAAGTATTCATTCAGAGTGCTTAAGTCTCTGATACGAACAAACCATTAAGGGTGTATTCTAGGTGCAACCACGGGGGAATGGGGGCTCCAAAAGGTGCTGAGGTGGCTAACTAACTCTGCAGGGAAGAAAATAGAATCTTCTCAATTGGTGATTTGTAAATATTCCTTTTGGGCCCAAAACCGTTGATGCTAGGAGGCTGGTGGCTATTAACTATTTAACAAAGGGTTAAAGAATGAAGAGGATATCTGGGAATTTAGGCTGGGACTGTACTTGGGAGAGAATCAGGTCCTCTCTATTTGCTCTGTATCATTTTCTTTTCCGTTTTTATCTCAATTCTGTCTCTGTTCTCTGAGTGTTTTCATATCTTAGTTGGCTGTAACAGATCTTTTATCAGTAATATTTACAGTTGTTCTGTTGGTTCTCATAAATTCTCTTTTATTCCCCTTGATACCCCAAAGGAATAGAATCCCCCCATCTAACTAAATTGCAAGACTTTTTAACATAACTAACTAACCTCCTGACCTGTCCCTTTCAGCCTCCTCATATAAACCTTAAAGTGCTATTCTTCCTCCTAGGTTCCTCCTCATCCACATTTGTATCACAAAGCTTTTCCTTGCTTGTCTCCACTGTATCTCTTTATCATATGCTACCATGCCTGTAGCAAAAATCAGACAGAAAGACTAGCAATTATTTGTCAATCGAAGTAGCATATATAACGAGCTAATTGAACAGTGTACATGATATTTTTCATCTTTCGCATAAACTGGGAAAATTGAATTACTGTCTAAGATTTGTCTAGCCTCCCCACCCTTCCAAACCAAAGATTAGCTATGTTGCTGGCCCACAAGGTTGGAATTTGCGAGGGATGCAGTCGTCGGATCAGTGTCATCATATGGTTCATTTCAGAGGAGATGAATAGCTGGTCAGTGGTCATTTTGGGGGCTGGAGAACTCATCTACCGTCTTAAACCATGATTCTTGATGATTTTGAATTCTTAAAATTCTTTCAAAGATTCATTTTGTTGTTGGCATTTTTTTGGAATTTGATTTTGATTTTGTTGGCAGTTTTATGTTTGATATTTTACTTTTCTGATATTAAAAAAAAATTGTCAGCCCTCAACTTAATTGTTGCAATTGTAGAGAGAATACTTAAACTTGAACAAGTTGGACAAAACCCATTTTTTCTTTGCATTTTTTTTTTAATTATTGCTTTATTTTGTTGTATGATACACTTCTGCAATGAATTTTTTTACCCGAGTCAACAAATTTTCTGACAGACTTAAATTTCGTTAATGTGACTTTTTTAAGCACTGCGCTATATATCCTTTTGTTGTTCAAAATGCTGTCATGATTGGTTGGCTTGTTCGTCCATGTTAATTATGGAACTCCTTATTAAGGTTGGCAGTTTAGAATTTAGATGCGGCATTGCCCTTCCATGCTCTTCCCCAATCAAGATTGATGTGATATTTAGGATTACTTAGTCATTATCATTAATCTTCTCCACTTTCTCTTGATCGACTCTGTTGGTGATAGATATAGACAAGGGTTTTCCCCCTCCGTTCTTCCATTATTTTATTTGTCTTAAGATGTTACTTCTAAAATGCTTATGGTTTGCCTTTTTTCTGCACGGTTTAGAGCTGGAAGGAAGATATTGATGGGAATGATCCATCTTCAAGCCAAGGAACCTCATGGTTTAGAAAACAATATTCTGCTGGGGGCTCTGGAAGGTACAGGAGTGGCAATCAAGGGTCAAGTCAACGATACAGAAGTAAGGATGCTTGAAATACTTATGCTGTAACAGAATATATGACATGTATCTTGTACTAGCTCTCTTGATTGGAGTTTGTAGAAGCTGGTTCTTCTAGGAAGTCTTCTAACTGAATCTCGATTGGGAAACTTCATGTCTACTCAAGTAGGATTGAAAGATTTAACTTGTGGAGGTCATGGATAGGATTTGATTTGAGCTTGCATCACAAGCTTTCTTGCATAAGTTTCATGTTTCTGCATCGTGTTTATTGTTTTCAACACAAAATGTAAGATTTTAGATGCCTATAAAGCATATTCCGGAATCACATGTGTTAAATAAATGGCTGCAAACTTGATTTCTTTCAGGAGATCCTTTGTTTTGTGAAGATGATTTTGATGTTGAAACCATTTTCCGTTCTGCCTTTGGTGGGAATAGATTCTTCTATTGGTCCTTCACCAATGAGGAAAATCCTCAGTGGAGGAGGTCTGGACGCTTTTCTAATCATGGGAAATCTTGGAACCGGAGACATGGGAGTCAAAGTGATTATGACTCTTCATACGAGTCTGATGGTTCGGATTCAGATTTAGCTCCTGATAGATTAGCCCTTGGGTTGAGTGCTTCTGGTCCTCTGAAACTTGAAGAAGTGAAAAACGCGTGAGTTCTTAATTCTTCTCCCACTTCCTCTTAACCAAGATTTTAGGAAGCCAGAATTGCCAGTTTTCTTTACTATGATTTTTTTTTTTTTAACTATTTTATGTCATCAGGTACCGGGTCTGTGCTCTAAAGTGGCATCCTGATCGTCATCAAGGCTCTTCCAAGGTGTTGCCAAGCTCTAACTACTGATTATGTCCCCCTTCCTTTCTTGTTCTGTTCCTTATTCTGGAATTTCTATCATTAGTTGCAGAGCTTCCTAATTATTACTTCTTTTTTTATGCGCTTTGATAGGCTATGGCAGAAGAGAAGTTCAAGCTTTGCAGTGCAGCTTATCAATCTTTATGTGATAAGCTGGCCTTGGACTAAGGACCCTTCAGATATATGCTAATCCTTTTCTAGAAATCTCCGGCCAGCTCATAGCAGATGATTGACAATGCTAATTTATTCAACATCTCGATCCTGCTTTCATTGTATTTTGTGGTTGAGTAATTTTATTAGATAATCATGGAAATAATGTGTATGTTATTTTACATTAACAAATGTACCATTTATTACCAATTCCTTTCTCTCCAATGTATTTGTACATGTTCCTAATTTACATTTTTCGCGCATCAATCAGCTGATTATTCCCAGAATCTCCCATGGTAAGCAAAAAGTCAACTGTAAGAGTTATCTCTTTTTTTTTAGTACATAGAGTTATCTTTTTGTCCACACAAGTCAGTCTATTACTATTTTTTTTTTAACTTGGTCTATTACTATTTTATAGATGACTAAACATGCAAATGTGAGATAGAGAAGTACGAGAAGATAACAATTTAGAAGTTCATGATTTACATACATATTTGCTCTCATCAATTAAGGAACTTTTAAAAAAATTTAAACCAGTTTTTGAGTCAATTTTAGGTCAGTTGTCTTTTTTCTCAATAAGATGGATGATTTTATCTTTTATTTATTTATATTTTAATATAATCCATTGTTCATGCGTCACTCCTATGGATCTCTGTGAAAAAAAAAAGAAAAAAGAAAAAATAAATTTCACACTTTTATCTGGGCAAAAAAATTAAAATATTGTATTTAAATAAAATAATTACGCATTTAATGTTGTTTTGTAAAAAATTACACATCTACTGCACAATGTGACGCCAGTTTTGGGCGTCACATGTGACGCCCCATTGGGGCGTCTTATCCATGGGAGAGACGCCCCAATGGGGCGTCACATGTGACGCCCAAAACTGGCGTCACATGTGTGCTCTATATATTTCCTCACCCCTTCCATTCAATTCACACCTCTTCTCTCACTTTTCATATCTCTCTTCTCCACCAACATTCCTTTATCTTTAATTTAGTATTTGAATTTTAGTTGTAATTCTATTTAAAAATGAGTTCAAATCCTGATTCTGTTCATGTTGTGTTATATTACAATGGTAGGAAGGTAGAAGGTCGACGATGTGTCATATTCGAAGGTGAAAAAAGGCCGACACGTATCCAACACAACACAACCATTGGCGAATTGCATCAGAGAATTCGGCAGAAGTTAAGTCTTCAAGACAACCAATGTATCACTGAGATCACGACAAGGGTGTGGCAAGGTGATAAATACATTAGTTTGAAAGTGCTTGACGATGAAGACTTGGAGATGACAATGGAAAATTTTGCAACCAGTCAAGGACAGATTTTCTAGAGTTGTATGTCGACATCGTTGCAACGGAGAATGCTCGCATACCGGTGAGGTCAGTTTATTTAAATTCTCCCCGTCTTCCAGCTTCTCCTGCCGCTCATGCGTCTCCAGTTGGTATCTTTTCTGAGGGAGATGAAAATGATCCGACTTGGGAAATGCACGACGAAGATGACGATGATGACGATGAAAATATGGCAATGGAAGAACATCTTCTGGCGGAGGATGCTAGTGCTTCAGAAGGAGATGAATCTCGTGAGATGGGTGCGTCTGAAATTCCAATATTCCATCAACCAGTCGTCGCGCAAATGCCGCAGTTGAATGACGTTGCGTCTGCTCCGTTTGGTATTCCACAAGAAGGTAATTGTTCCCATTTGTATACTGCGTGAATAAATAACTGATTTAATGTTGCCTGAATTAGTAGTAAGTTCGTATTAAAGAATTATAACCCGCAATTGCAGGTGACACAGATGTTATTCCTTTTTGGGAAGGAATTCCGCATTATTCTTACATTGATTGGAGTTATCAGAGCGAACAAGAATCGTGTACTGATGGTTCGGTGTCTGGATCGGCTTCAATACAAGGTCCGTGGCAACATGTGTGCACTTAAGTACTGATGGTTCGGTGGGAGAAACGAATGATTTGCATATTATGTTCATATTGTTGCTGTTGGTTATGTTATTGCATGAATTGTAATGTCCGTTATGTTGGACTTTTTACTTTCCGTTTATGTATGTTTTTAAGCTTGAATTATTAATTAGCTGATGCTGTTAGTTACCGTAATATAAATCCGCAAAGAACGATAACCAAAACATAGTGAATAGTCCAAATAATATAATAATGTAGCGTCCACAATATAACAACATGCTACACTCATATGACATATACAAAAGAACAAAATAATAACAATATGAAACAGTCCACAACATAATGAATAAACAAAATGTCAATGAAACTAGGACCACGGTGGCCATGGCCTATGTCGTGCATCCCTATCTGGTAGTATACGTCTGTCCCAGACTGGGTCACCCTGATGGTCCTGTGGAGGTGGAGTGTGGAAGTCATCCATCGCCGCACGGATGAAATCATCTGATGGTCCTGCACTGCTGCCCGGCACATCAAAAGGGGTGTGTCCCTGACTGTGAGAATCCGTGGCTAGAGTCTCCCCACTGTTATGGCTCTCTGCAACAAGGCCTACAGAGCGATACAACTCCATCGTGTCCTCTGCAGACCAAAAAGGGTAATCGGCATCAAGTTCCTGTGAATAGGGCTGGAAATCAGGCTGTGAGGATGCCGGATCCGCTCCTGCCATAGCCATCGGACTAGCCTGGAAAACTGGCTCCTGCCCGCTCATGTAAGGGTGCTCAGACGCCGCCTGACTAGGACCTGCCGCATACTGCGATCCGTGATGATAAATCGGTTGTGACCCGTAAGTAGGACCAAATGCTGGAGGTCTAAACCATCCCTGAGTCTCGACCACTGGTCTAGGTGCTATAATCGGGACAGGCTCAGCAGCAACTCTCTCACGTGTACGTCCTAATCTCCGTCCCTCCCGTCTATTACGAGGAACATCCACGATCAACTGAGGATCAGGCTGAGTCTGCACGGGGGGTGCCTCAGGTCCAGGCTCATCAACTCGTGAACTCTCACGAAACATCCCAATAATTCGGCCTATCTCCTCGTGGATATACTGTAGTCCAAATCGAGGAAACTCCTCTGCCGTTGTTGCATGATACAGCATTTCAAGACCGTCAATCTGCATATTACGAAAAAATGTTAGTTGTAATTTGAAACAAATGTAAAATAAGTACAAAACTCACCATGCGCCCTATCTTTGCTGCCCTCCGTGATATGTAGCGCTTTCCCCTATCTCTGAACCACTCCATGTACTCATGATTAGGTGACATCAAACCATATAATGGAGGTGGCAGTACAATATGCTGAATCCTAGTATTCCATCGATCAATGTGAGCCCTGAGCTTACGTCTCCAGTTCTCTTCAACCTTCCCCCGTAGAGTATGATCATGTATTCCTCTCAATTTTCTAGATTTTTCTGCGATGGGTTGATTAAGACCAAACTGTCGCATGCACCTATCCGGTTGACATGCCTCAACTGTGTGGAAGTAGATAATAGGTGTGGGAGCTAGCCACAGATACTGCTGCTCTGGAGTCACGTCAAGCCACTCATATTCTATATACGGCTGCCACACCACCTACAAACAAAATGTGAAACAATATATAGAGTTACAAAAAAAAATAAACCCATAGACAAATAACAACACCGTAAGTATCTAACACCAAACCTCATCTCTACAGAGTGTGTCCAATGTTGCCCGATAATGGGTGACCTCATGAGGTTTAAACTTTTGTACAGCATTAAACCTGTCAATCAAAAACATTATCAACCATACATAATCGTCCAAAGTCAAGAAGTATACAGTTAGTACATACAATATTAACCATACATTATCGAAATCAAATGAAGTAAATAAATCATACCGGCATCCATAATGTGTGCCCGGCTGTGGATGAGGAGGAAGGGGTGGAGCAATGAGTGAGAATCGTATCCATGCCCAAATTTGAAGGAGAATGGCAACCACCCATGTCGCTTCGACGGGCATCTGTCACTTCACACAAATTCCTGAACAAGTGTGTCAAAACTGCCGATCCCCAGCTGAATCGGCCAATGTCCTCAAATCCTCCACCTAGCAACGGGACAAGCCGACAACCAAAATTGCTACCTCCAGACTTGTCCGCCAGCAACCAAGTCCCCAACATCCGCGCAATGTGAGCTTTTGTGAAGTAGATCTCGGCAGCATGATTCCCTTCATGATCAGTCCACCGGGTATAATGTCGATCCAAGAATGAGATGCGGAGGTCGCCAGAATGATGGAACTCACCGGCCTCTGGAACATGTCCAAAAACACCAGCACAAGCAGCGTGCCAATCCTCAGAGGTCGATCCGATGACGACAGTACCGTCGGTCGGCAAGCCCAAGATGCCTGCCACATCTTGTAAGGTGATCGTCATCTCACCTTGGGTCATGTCAAAGGTATGTGTCTCTGGTCTCCACCTCTCGACCAGAGCACTAATTAAAAATGTATCTATCTGTGATAAATTACGCAGTTATCACGTGTTAACGAATTACATTATTTAATTACATAAATACAAAACGACATAAATAACATACCTGGATATGTTGCATCCTGGCAACATGTATGAAACCCGCCTGTCTGAGGTACTCTTCCACAACCTGTGGAATAGCACCGGTAGGTGGGCCCCCTTGTGGCTTCCCACGCCTCGTCTTAATCTTTCTTACATGCTCAGTATTCCACACACGCTGTGAAATATGACCTTTCTGCGTCCTCTGACGAAGGACCTCCCACCTGTAGGGTCCAGGTATGATCCACATGCTGGGATCGGTGGGCTCTACATCCGAATCAGATCCCGAAGAAGATGATGACTCGACCATTATCCTTAACTAACTACAAAGTTATGCACTCCCGCATTAATAACATCATACATACGAAATTTACAAAGTCTCTAACACTATTTATAAATCACTAATTAATATGCTAAACCCTAATACATAATTAAAAATCAGTAATAATAATAACTACGTAATAATAATATTACTATATCATTACAACATTTATAGCATGACACAAAATTTCTAAGTGACTATCCTAATGTTCCAAGTCTCTAATATACAATCAATCCTAACATGTATTACTAACTAGCACTGTAATTTAAATATATACATATGAGGTATTATGACCTTACCTACGTTTGCAGAGCTTCGCTACGAACCGCGGTTAGAGAGAGGTTAGAGAGAGGTTGGAGAGGTAAATGAGTAAGGAGTGAAAAAAGAAAAGTGAGGTATATATAGGTTGCACATGTGACGCCCAAAGAGGGCGTCTCATTGTACAACAGATGTGTAATTTTTAACAAAACAGTATTAAATGCGTAATTTTAATTAATTACATTATTTTAATTTTTTTGCCTTGCGTACATGAGATTAATGATGTGAGACGTTAAATTTAAGGTAAAATGTTTGTCTTTTTAAATGACATAACTTAATATTCTTTTACTCTCACGAAGACGTGAGACTCGCACTTTTATTTTTTTTGTCCACTCTCTTTTCTTTTATCTATCTTTTTCTCTCTCTTAAAATGATACAATTTTACATCTTTTGAAATGTTATACACTTTTTCGTTAAATTTACGATGAAATGATTTTTAAACATAAGGTTGACAGAGAAAACAACAACGAAACTCTTTTCTTTTCATTTTAATAGAAATTTTATGTATCACGGTTTGAAGATTCTGGATTTAAAAAAGGAGGGAAGAGATTGGAATTTTTTATCGTTAAAATCGATGATTGCTTGCAATTTGAATTTGAGAAGGTAGGGCAAAAAATTATTGGTTGCTATTCCAACTCGAAATCGAAATCGCACAGGCACTGCGGAAGAATAAGAATAATGATGCTGAAAGGTTTCCAGATTCAGATATGTGGGTTGGTTAGCAATACACAACGCTGGAGTTGGAAACCTCGCAACTCCATCTCAATTTCATCCTTGTCGTCATTTCCCCCAATCTCGTACTCTAACCCTAACCCTTATCTCAAACTGCTTCCCACCAATACCATCGCTCGCAGGGCTCGATTCACACCGTTTCATGCTTCCACCTCACTGCATTCTGCTGTGAGTTCATCAATCCTTGTATTTGTTTTCTTTACTGTGCCTTCTAATTGCATTGGTGAGTACTCAGGAGTTAAAAATCTTTTTGCATTTTGTTGGTGTTTAGCTTGTTCATTGTTGCCAGTTATGGTAGATTTAACTAGTCCTTCAGACAAGGTAGTTGCAAAGTGGATTGAATTTCGGTTCTGTTATTATCAGTGAAACAGTTGAAGACAGATTAGATTGCTATGTCACTATAAGAATGCTCCCTTTTGTGTCGTAGATTTTCTGTTTTCACAATCAAAGATATATATGTTGTTGATACAACACCACAATGTTTCAACTATAGATCTAAATAGTTCGCTGAAATCCACTGCACAGCTGGATTATGTATTTTGTGGAAATCTTCCTTACAGCTATTGATCATGACAATGTAGGGAAATGTTCGAAACATCAAGTTCTGTCAGTGGTGTGGTGGTTCAACTAAGCATGATATACCCAGCGGAGAAGAAAAGTTGAGAGCCATATGTACAATTTGTGGGAAGATTGCCTATCAGAATCCAAAAATGGTAACTTCTTTTAAATATCTCCGTACCTTCTGTTTGATATAATTTAGTGCTTATGAAGTAATAACAGATATGTTGTATGTTCAGCGGTAATTTGCTTTAATGTGCATGAATTGATTTGCAAAAAAGTGTCCTTGTTTTTAACTGGAGTGTGAGGGGTGTGTGCGACATGCAAGATGACAGCTATGCAAGAAGTTGTTATTCATATGCTGAAACAATTTGACAGCTGACTTTGTAGTTTCTTTTCAATAACAATTTGTACTCTTGGACGTGAATTTGGATTAGGACCTCAGTGTGCCGATATCACTATGAAGGTTACTATATATATGATAAATCATTCTTTCTTTTTTCTCTTTTGTAAATATATTTCTTCTTTTATGAAAAAAATTGTTTTCTGTTGAAGTTTTCTCAAGTAGGTTGCAGCTCCAGCTGCAAGTAAATGGAGAATAGTAGATCTCTGTGGATAATCTAAAGATCCATCCAAGATTTTAAAGTTTTTTATTATTGGTTAATGGTATAAACAATGCATGTACAATATAATCTTAGACACCGATGTTGATCGTTATATTAAATGTTATGACTTTTGCTGGATTTTGAATATGTATTAGAGATGGAAATTTGAGAAAAAGTAAGTGTTGTCTTTAATTTTTCCCAGCATTAATTGATCTTAGTAAACAGATTAATTGTACGAGGTTAGTTTCTCTCTTTTTTTCTTTTTCTTTTTTTCCGTTAATTTAGTTTGTGATGCATAAATTCAATACTGAAGTGGATATGGAGGTTAAGATATCTGCATATAATATGCTTTAAAGTGGTATTTAGTATGACTATTACTCTCATTCTCTGAAGCAATTCTTCTTTTCACAAAACAATTAACAAAAATGCAAAAATATAAGGATTTGTAGGAGTATCATATGTTTTTAGATGTATTCTGACTTTTGTCAGGAAAACCATCCTGTTATAATTGTATGCTGTTTGTCATAGTACTTATTCCACTCATTCAGTTCATACGAGACTAATTACTTTCTTCTGAACATGATATGATTTTGGCTGGGAAAGTAGGTAGTTGGTTGTCTCATCGAACATGAAAACAAGGTCCTCCTTTGCAAGAGGAATATTCAACCATCTCATGGACTTTGGTAGGAATGTAGTTTTTATTGAATTGCCTATTTTGTTGTTTCGGGTTATGTGCATATTACATTCTTTCCCCAGAACTATTTTATAAACCCAACCCAATATGCTAACAAATTTATTATAACGATGAATATTGCTTCTCTTTCTATCAGTGAGCTATGTTAATTTCATATTTTGGTGTCAACAAGGACGCTTCCTGCTGGTTATTTGGAAATTGGAGAGTCGGCTGTGGAAGGTGCAATCAGAGAAACAAGGGAGGAAGCAAATGCAGATGTAGAAGTAATTTCTCCCTTTGCTCAATTGGATATACCTTTAATTGGCCAAGTGAGGAAGAAGCTTTGATTTATTTCTTTATTATTATTATTATTATTTTTCTTTTAGTTTATCCTCTTGTCTCGGTAGAGAATTTTGATTATGATATTTCATGTTTGAGGCAGACTTATCTGATATTCTTAGCAAAGCTGAAGAAACCCCATTTTTCACCTGGTCCAGAATCATCAGAATGCCAACTTTTTCCACTTGATGATATACCTTTTAATTCTCTATCCTTTTCGTCAATGGTGGTTACCTTAAGTTTGGTATGATTAAGATATTTGAGCATTCTGGCTTTGGGTTTTGCTATGTTGCCTACTTATACTGTAACTTATTTTGTTTCTCATGGCTGTAGTTTATTGAGGATATTAAAGCTGGAAAGCCCAAATTCCATTATGGAGCCATTAACAAAAGGTATTTTCTTCCTAAATAGAGGATATATTCCCTAAATCTTACGCATTGTCTGGTTTGAGGGAAGAAAATTAATATTATTTTTAAAGTAATTGAACTTTCATTTAGGATAGAAATCTGTTAACCAGGTTAACGACATACATTTAACTAGTTGGGTTGGGTTGTCTCATAACTGTTCAGGTCCAGTCTGTCCTGGGATAAATGTTAGCAAAATGCATAATATATAAATTAAATTGGACAGAAAAAATTAAGTACACTTTATGCGAGTTTGCACTGCACTTGTCACTTTTTTACGCAAACCGATGAAATCGGTAAGTTTTCTTGTGAACTTGATCATGTATGGTTAGAGATGCAATTTGACTCTTGCTCTCACTTTTGTTTACTGTCTGTCTGTAAAAGGTTATTCTAAGCTGTTTTATTGAGTAGTTCTGATTCTTGGCTTCCCGGACCTCTATTCCTGCTCACGCTGTTTGATTTTATCTTGATGTTTGTTTTTAGGCCGGGTTCAAGTCCGTCTGATATTCATGCCTATACACTGGATCATCATATGCACTCGTGAGTTATGATAAGCAGGTTTGTCCCCTATGACATATCTTAATGAATAAACAAATAAAAACAGAACTATATATATATATATATATATATATATATATATATATATATATATATTGTTCGTTTAAATGAGTATTAAGTATTTTAATTGTCGTTTATTGTTACCCTCAAAAGACAAAGCAGAATGCCCTAACGTTGCATCATTCTTACTGATTTTCCATCATGGTTCACTAATAATACATCCATAATATCTTTTCAAACGTTTTGCTGGTTGCAGCAGAGTGTATTTGAAAATTGCAAGTAAAAGAATTCTATTGAAGTTCTGCCACTCGAGTGCTGTATCTTTTGCAAGAATGTCCGAGCATTACTGGCTTAAATTGGCCATTCTCATAGGATAGATGAACAGTTGTTTCGATTCAAAAAAGACGTTAGATCAATGATGCTTGATGCAATTCATGATCACCAGCAAATTACTCAGGGGCTCTTATATGAACGTCCCATGTCAGATTCGGAGGTAGTTGCTATTGTAGAAGATGGAGACTTGTTTTGTGACCTTCATTGGAATTGTAAACATAAACATTCATTTAAGTAAATGAAATTCTTTTTGAAAAAATTTCCTGTTTTTCAAAACCAAGGCACTCTTGGAGCTGCTTTCGTTAACCTGTTTGATGCTAACAACAATATAACAACAGCACAATCTTTTAACTCAAAACTCGAGCTCGAGAAGTTATTGATGTTTAGGTGACTTTTCCTGAAACCAGTATCGTACTTATCCTGTTTTAATCTAATTAAAGACATGAACCTGTTATAAAGCGACAAGTGCTCGTTTGTTTGCTTTTTATTAGGGAAAAATGAGATTTCTTGATTTAGGAAGAAAAATAAAAATAAAAATTTCGAGGGCCTTTCAAAACCAAATATACAAATGAACATATCTGATAAAAATACATGTAATTTTCTCCATGAATATGATGAACCAAGTAACAAAGCTACTTTTACTTGTGCTAAAGCAGTGGTTATTTTGTATCCATCGAATGTAATTATGAGTCCGTTTGTTTGCACTTTTTAAAAAAGTAATTTTTATCTCTTCCTTATTTTAGAAGTCTTTTTTACAAAAGTTAAATCTATTTATATTTTTAAAAAAATATTTAGATTTTGAAAAAAAAATTTGGCTTTTGACTTCTGCTTTTTTTAGAAGTTAAAATTTTTAGCTTCAGAAAAAAGTAGGTTTTTGACTTTTTTTGTGACTTCTGCTTTTTTTAAAAGCAAACATCCAAACGAACTAAAAATGAAAAGTGCTTTTTTTCACACAAAAAAAGCAACTTCTGAAAAAAAAAAAGCTCATCCAAACGGGCCTTATATAGCAGTATCTGAAAACTGAAAATATCTTGGTAGTGCCTTAAAGCGATCATTGAATTGAAATTCTATCACCCAGTTTTATTAAGCAGTTCAAAACATACTTAAATGAATTTAAGCAAATAGAACAGAAAGTTTGCCTGATATCTTTATTCTCTCTAGTGCCCATAACCCGGTGAAGAGAGAGGATTCAAAGTGGAGGCAATGATATCGTGAATAGGATAAAATAAAAACAAAGTATATATTTTGCACAGACCATCAGAAGTATTGGATCATTTACATCAAAATAAATCTCAGACGACCGTCGTGAGAAAATGTTAATCCACATTCATCATATGGTCCTTTAACCCAAAACAAACGACGAAAGAAAAATCACAAGTTATAAAAGACCTACTACCGCCACGAATGTACTAGCCATGGGCTAATTATTCATAGCCCATGAAAGGCACGAGGAAAAGAATGACACACAATTAGAGTTCATTTTGATTTTATATTATGAGGAGAACGAAGTCCTTTACAATCTTATCGACGTGGGACACGCGCTCCCTCATTTTATTCAACGACGATGATTTCTTGCAGTTTCATAACTTCTGGAACTAAAATTCATTAAACAGAAAGTTGATAAATTAATATTGGAACAAAACAAAATTAATTTCACCTGATTTTTTTTTTAACTAGTTTTAACTTCAAAATAAATTAGATGATAATTTTTTTTAAGAAGATACACTTAAACTTTAAAACCCACCTCATTCTATTTCTAGTATTTTCAGTTTGACACACACCTTTTAACTTGATGATGAAGTTAATATTTTAAAAATTAAACCAAAAATTAAATTGTTAAAAAAGAAAATTCAGATGAGTTTACTTTGACTTGGGTTGCGGTTTTGATCGAGGTTTCAGTTCGAGTGATAGAATAGAACCTCACTCCCTCATCGATCACAAACCTTTTATTCTCTTCATAGCTACACTCAAAGCCCCAATTGAAATCTATTGTTTCCTCATCGCGAGGGTTATAAAATTCGGTTCTTTTTTCCGTTTTCCTTTCTGGGTATTATCAGTTTTCGTTGATGGAAGCCATGGAGACTCAGAGTTCTCCGAAAGGGGATTTCGGTTTCGGTGGCAGCGATCGGAGGTTCGCGTTTTCGCGCCAAGCTTCGTTCCAGCAACAACCCCACACGCCGATTTCCATCTATTTGAACGATTCGGGTTCGAGGAGGCCCTTCCTTTCACGAAGCGATTCCAGCATAAACATTCCCACTCCGAGGCACCACCATTACTGGTCTGAGCATGACGAAAAGCCTTCTGGGTCGCTTCAAAGATCGTCTTTTTCGTCCTTTGTTTTATCCGTTTTTCGAAGCATTAGGTCTGGCCATAGGTATATGAAGAGATTGTTCTTTATGATCTCTCTCAATGTAGCTTATTCCACTGCTGAGTTGCTCATTGGCCTCTTCACTGGCCGTGTTGGTAAGACTCAACATTAAATTCAACTGAATTTTGATAAAAAAAAAAAAAAAAAAGATGCTGATTTGGTACTTTGTAACTTGAAATCTGATATGGTTCAACACAAAACCAGCTACGTCAACTGAATTTCGAATTGAGTCTCTGCTCGCTTTTCAATTTATAACTATGGTTTTTCAGGTTTGGTGTCTGATGCATTTCATTTGACTTTTGGATGTGGTCTTCTCACATTTTCGTTATTTGTCATGGCTGCATCTAGGAAGAAAGCTGATCGAGATTATACTTATGGGTGAGATTCTTGCTTGAAGTATTATAATTTACTTTTGTAAAATTTTCCTACGCAGTTATATCATATACGCAATTTGTAGAATGCGTTAGGTATGTGTGAGTATGCATGACAAAGTTGTAACTTCTTTGGAAAACATGAATTTTTCCCCACCTGCTAAGGGGTAGGTGTTAGTTCTTTACTTCCCCGTCATTGCTAAATTTGGTGAGGCACAAATTTTGACTTATATGTCCCTTTTGTAACTTTCGTGCATGAAACAATTCTCCTAAATTTTATACTGAGAGTTGGTTGTCATATAAGATTAAGAGTTGGAGTTCTGAACTATTTTTAAACAAGAAAGGATGAATTTATTGAACAAAGGGTGTGGCTAAACTGACATCTGTAGGAAGTTTTTCTGTGACGTAATTGCTTTGTTATTGTTACCCTTGTATTTCAGCTTGAACCTAAGTTGCACATCCATGTTTCTATGCGTGCCTGCATTGTCTCATGCACTATAATATAAGATAATTTTTCCTCATGTGTCTATGTGCCATTGCTTAATATAAGTTTGCCCAACAATTACTTAGTCATAGATGCACAGTTGTCAAAACTTGTACCTTTTGTGTGTGTGTGTTACTAAATAATATTTTCTGTTTGATTAATCATTTCAATCCATGTTTATGGTTGTAACTAATGTGCTTTATTTTCAGGTATAAAAGGCTAGAAGTCTTGTCTGCATTTACAAATGCCGTAAGTATTCCATATTTCCTTTACTACTGCAGTTTCTACCTTGTATCATAGTGAGTTGGTTGCCTGGTGCTGTCATTAAGTCATAGAATGATGCTTGTACGATGAATAATAAAACTAGTTATCATGTACACAATGTCAATATCTTTTTATCTCCTAAAATGGCATGTGCATCTCAAGCTTTAAAGATGATTGGTATTGGTCTCAAATCAGTTCTTCTGATTCTTTTGTGAGGTTTAATAGTCTTGACAAGGTGACATGTAATTTATGTCCCTCACATATCTATACAAGAGAAATATTTATTTATGTAGAAAATGATATTCGCTTAAAATCTCTGGTATTGCTATTAAAGAATTTATCTTGTAAAATGCTGAATGGTATTGTATGATAAATGGAAAAAATCTCGGAATTCTATGTATTACTGAATTGAGTTCCTGAAATCTATCATTTTACTAAGGCAATGCAGTTTGTAAAAGAAGGGATAATAAATGACATTATGGTTTGGATAGTACAATGTTTGTTATGCCTTTAAGTGATCACTTGTGTGGGAGTAAAAGAATTTGGTGTGAAGGTGTTCTAAGTAAATTCTGGCGAACTTCTTTCATTCTTTCACTCCTGTTTGGTACATTACATCATCTCTCTCTGGTTTGGTACATCATTTCATGTGCGCTAACACATTTAATTTTCTTTTTCTGCTGCTTGTGTAGACAGCTGTTTCTTTTGTTTATGTCATTCTCCCTAGCAGTTGAGGCACTTCATGCATTCATACAAGATGAATCGGAACACAAGTAAGTTTGCACTCACAACGATTGTCTTTGTTTGATCACTCCTAATTAAGTATCTTTCATATTGATGGCACCAGAAAATAGAACAGAAGTATTAATCACAAGTAAATTCTGGGGAGTGACCCCTTACAACCAGATTCCTAGCAACTTAGTACTGGAAATAGTATATCAAGATTGAATGAACAATATGAAGGCCTCTGGTCAAGTATAAAGAAACAGGAAAACTGTAATAAGGGAAAATACAAGTATTTCTAGAAAGAAAAGCAGCAAACCAAGCATAGACAGCCCTTTGCTCAGCACTCCAACAAGGAACTCACCTGATTCCTCATCGAGCCTCTCCCTTCCCAAGATTCTACTCAATTCTCTGCCCTCCTCCATCCCCACTAACTCCACTTATAACTAACTTCTCATTATTTTCCCTTCCCACATTCTCTTCACCATTCAATGCTTGCCACATGGAGTCCCTTATAACAACCTTCTTTCTTTCCTTTTCTGTTACTCCTTCGCTGTTAGTACTATTAGCCCCTGTTGGTTCTTTGGGCTGATCATCATGGGCTCTATTCTTCCTCCACTTCTTACGTTCATAGACCAATTTCAGTGGCCCATCACATATCCAGCAACAACAGAAATTGACCGAGTGTTTTACATAGTAAAATTTGAAATTTATGTTATGTCTTGTTTTTTTTTGGTTGAGTTCCATGTCATGTATACCAAGATGTCGCTATGGCTTTCTTTGTTTAAATTGAGTGTTTTCATTCTAAATTCAGTTCTTGAAATTTTATCTCTAGTTTTTATTTCTGCTGACTGTTTTCATTCTAACAATTCTGCTTGTAGGCATTACTTGATTGTTTCGGCGGTGACCAATTTATTTGTGAATCTCATTGGTGTGTGGTTCTTCAGGAACTATGCTCGGATTAATCTTGGTTAGAATTTTTTGGATGTTTAAGATTTTACTTGATTTAACCTTTTATTGATGGTTCCTTTTGAGCCTTGACCTGTGACAATCTTTATCTGTTTCTTCTGGAATTTGTCTTGCAGCTTACAGAAATGCAGAAGATATGAATCACCACTCTGTTTTCTTGCATGTTCTTGCAGATTCCATTCGCAGGTAGATAGCAACACTCTGTTTATGTTTGTCGTTGTGCATGTGTATGATAGCAACGCCCCTTCAATGCTACTATATTTCCTTTCCTCTATTCAAATTCATATCAAGCTTATATACTTTAATGGTTTCTCAGTGCAGGTCTGATATTGGCATCCTGGTTATTGTCAATTGGGTAAATACTGTTTCATTTACTGTCCATATAATCTTGAGAGATATGGAAAATAAAAATCATAAGGAAATAAAAAGAATTTGACAGTTTCCTAGCCTGATTTCTTCAATATCATAATCTGACTTATTTTTTGTTTCATTCTTTATAGGGTTCAGAATGCAGAAGTCTTGTGTTTAGGACTTGTTTCTGTTGCAGTTTTTATGCTTGTTCTGCCTCTCTTTAGGGCAACTGGTGGTATCTTGCTCCAAATGGCACCTCCTAGCATACCAACTACTGCTTTGAACAAATGCTTGAGACAGGTTATTACTTTTTCTAGGGAAAAATGTTCTTTGCCTTATGTGGCTTGGGGATACCAACAGTCTAAGACCTACTTTGAAATTTGTCTGGAACTCTGAAGTTATATTGTACAATATTATAAACGAAGTTAACACTTTTTTCTTTCAATTTCTATTTGTCTCATTTGGCTAAAAACACACGACTTTGTCAAATTTCTGGGTAATGCAGATGCTCTACAAATATTACATAGAAGCGATTCTCAGATTTTAATTTATGTGTTTCTGTGTTGTAAAATTGTAGACAAAGCTACATAATGCACTTACCAATGACTACTCACTTGCATATACACTGAAATTTTGAAAATTTCCTGGTTTAATCAACTAAAGGATGTTTTAGTGTCACAAATTTTTTGGGCAAGTATTTTTCACATATCCAACCTTGTGGTTAGGGATAAAAGGTGTATTTTGCTCGCTTCAGTCTATGTTAATTAAATTTAGGATTTTTAATTTGACACACTTGTTGATGCGTCAATGCTTCATTTTTAAGTTTACTATGTTTTGTTCAGATTTCTGCCCGGGAAGATGTACTGGAAGTCTCCCAGGCTCGTTTTTGGGAAGTGGTGCCGGGCCATGTGATTGGTTCGCTTTCAATACAGGTAATTTATTATTTGTTCTCCTTTTCTTTGCCACTATAGATGTGAATGGTAGGAGCAAAAATTGAAAGTCGACTATATATTGTGTAGAGACCTGAATTTCATTTTCAATTTTTGATTATGATAGTATGTCATGCTTCCTATTGTTTGTTTACTGAGTAGCCACAGTGTAGATGCTGACTTTTAGTGGATCATGCTGATAGGTAAAGAAAGGAATGGATGATCGCCCAATACAAGGATTTGTGCATGGTCTATACCATGATTTGGGTGTGCAGGACCTCACGGTGCAAACTGATGATGCATGAGATTTATCTTTACAGTTTTATGCCAATCTAAGGATTTTTTTACACATCAATGTCATTGTTTATTACTGGTGAAAGGATAGTAACATGATTTCTTATTTAAAAGGGATCTTTGATTTTTTTATTGGTATGTTTTTCCCTGCCAAAATTATTGTTTGGTTATTAGTCACCCATGTAAATGTTTATATGCCCCTTTACTGAGGTAGCGTACCAGATAGATAAGAAATGGATGCATATAAAAACGTATAAAAATTTCATGGGTATAGACAATTTTGAAAAATATTTCAAAAAAAAGTTTAGTAATTATATGTATGAAACTTTATTATTAATGATTAGTCGTATATGAAAGTATTGGAGTAACATAGAATAATTGTGATAGGATTAACACTGATTAATTTCTGGATATATATTTTTAACGATAAGCGACTAGGATTAACATTGGGTAATTAATCAAATACTGATGTTTAGAATTTGAAAAAAAAAAAAAAAAAACTGTTATAGATAGGTCTAAACCGTTGATATTGATTAATGCTTAATGTCTTTTAATTATAAGAACTACATTTAATCTATTATCTGAAAAAAAGATTTTATGATCAACTTTAGTAAAGTTACTCTTATTTATTATAAATTACTTTTTTTGCTCTTACATAATCCCTTATCTTTATCTCTATTTAAGCTTGGGAAATCATTCTTTTGTACCACAACTTTGGGTTCGTTTACCGTCTTTTGGTTTGTAAATGAATCTCGTAAAAAGAAAGAAAGTTGGAGGTTGTATTATTAATGTCTTCCAAATTCGTATATTTTGGTTTCCGATTTGTTATTGCACTTCAATTTTTATTTTTCAAAATAAGAGTTGAAGAGGGAAAAGTTATCCCTTTGCAAAATTAGGACAAGCCACAAGTTTTAATGAGCTTATAATAAGACAATCTTACTGGTTGAACCATTTTGTCATCAATTTTGATGATTTAATTTAGATATATTGGAGACATTATATGAGCAAGACTTTAACTCTTTATTTTTTATTGGCGGGTATAAGACAATATTTTTTATCTACGTAATAACAAATTAGTGAAAAATGTAAACAAAGACAAAAAATATAATAAATATCACATTCACAGTAAACAATGTACATGACGAGAGAAAGTAAAAAAAAAAAATACTAAGAGGAGGAGAAGAAAATATTTTTTTTTTTTTGGATATTAAGGAGAAGAAAATAATTGACAACAGTCAAAAAGTTTTGTATCATCATCAATTCAGAAATAACACGATGTTGTATTGTATAATAGACGCGAGTAGGCCATGAGAAAATTTTTCTTGCACAAAGAAGTTGAGATATTGTAGAACCACAAACCGCACAGAATGGTAGAACCATTGCTTGGGAGACCTTTTTTTTCTCTTTGCAAATGCCACAGTCGTATTCCCTCAATTCACCTTCAACAAAGTAGGTTAGACATAACTTGATATTATGGAACAAAATGGTAAGTAAATTAAAAAAGTAATTAAAGTAAGGAGTCACAGACAGGGATTGATGAGGAATGATCAGTTGTGAACTTTTGATGAACGAATGATGTCTTTGATAAAGGTTTGGAGAGCTTTGGTCCAGGTGAGAGCAACCCGTATCGTGTTGTGTTGGCGTGTAAATCAAACTCCATAATATATATATATATATATATATATATATATATATATATATATATATATATATATATATATATATATATTCTTAGAAGAACGTAGTTTGAGCCCTGAACCTGATACGAGTTTCTCTCACCCAGACCAAAGATGTCCCTAGACAAAGTAAACAAGAGTCCATAGCTTCTTGTGGTGAATGCTTATGCACTTGTTATTCACCTCTCTCTCTCTCTGCTTATCTCTTGTGTGTGCTTTGTTGTGGACCTTTTATAATGCAAAAAATAATTATGTACGGAGGTATTCATAGCCGACAAAATTGAATGCACATGTATAGCCATATATATTACTTCCACATCAACCTTGGTATATGCCTTAGTACCCACCCGTGACTCTTCATACATACTCATACGCTATTCTTCATTATTTTCCACCCTAAACGTGAGAAAAATATATATATATATATATATATATTATGTTCTGAGTCAGTTAATATTCACAAGTTATTTACACTTTATCCATCAATATAACAAGTTATTATGATGTAATAAAAATAATTTATAGATATCATTATTTAAAAATAAAATAAAAAATACTGGGTGTCTTTCCAACTTTTAATTATGTGTGGAAATAATTTAGGATCGTGTTATTTCTACACCAAATTTCATACTTTAATTTTGTACTTTTTTACTAGAGCTAGAACATAAAACTAAATACAAATATAAAAATTTCCGGAACCTTCTCTTTCTAGAAGCTCAACAAGCCTTTAGCTATTCAGATAACTGAAACCCCGGGTGTTCATGGCCTAGGTAAGTACTGGCAGGAATTCAATTCAATCTTTTAATATTAAAATTGAATATCAATTATTGCACTTTTGTAAGATCATTCCCGCCACATGAATTAATGCAGCACGTTATTTGAGAATGGATCCTCTTATTATTATTTCTGTCATCTGAGATTTTTGTGTATATTTTTTTATTAATATTTACAAATTATAATTGAATTTTCACATATTTAATGTATGTAAAGAGAAAGATAAACATAAAAATTCAGTGAATTTTAACATGATTTTTCAATTTAATTAGATAAGTATTAACCGAATAAATACGTAATGAGAAATGAAGAATGCTATTGAATATGCATGTATTATAATTGTTTTTTAAGTATACTAAGCTGAATAAAGGAAATCAAGTTATGATCAATAAACATATATGAAATATGAATGGCCGTGTAGACATTTGAAGAGAGAAATATAAAACAGAAAAAATGTTTACAAATGATGACTATTTTCTGTGACTAATGAGTGGCCATATAGAAAAACTTCTTTTAATTAGGCTTCACATTCGATGGGATATATGGGACGATAATTTCATTTTTTTAAAATGAAATCACCAGCCAAATGTGAAGCTAAACTATTAAATTTAAATTTTTAAGAACCATTTCAAGCTTAACCAGTACAAGAACCTCGAGTTGTTGAGAAGAGTTCATTTTTAAGACCGAGTTATTGACGTTTTAATATTTTTACGGGGTTGATATTTCTTAAATTGTAGTAGATATTTTATCTCCTACACATAAATAAAAGAGTATGAGACCTATGTGGAACTATATGAAGAGAAAAGAGAAAAAAAGAAAACATGAATTCCATATATTTTTATATGTGTGTAGAAGATAATTATATATATATATATATATATATATATATATATATATATATATATATATATATAGAGGTTGGATCCTTTGACACCTCATCTTATAGCCGTTAGATTAAAAAAGATCAATGGAGTCACATGCTTACAAATCAGAGTCGTTGATCTTTTTTGATCTAACGGCTATAAGATGAGGTGTCAAATTTAAAATTTGACACCGGTGTCAAAGGATCCTACCTCATATATATATATATATATATATATATATATATATATATATATATATATATATATCTTGCAACATGAGAGATATTGAACCTTATGTTTATTGTATTTTTTACTTTTTTTAATCTTTATTGTATTTTTAAATTATCTTTATTTAAAAATTAAATTATCTTTATTTAAAAATTAAAAAAATTATTAATTATTTTATTCACACTCCTAAAATAACTCTTCTCTTAAAATCTTTCTTTTTATTATACATTACATTACAGCTGCTCATCTCCCATAGTTTCTTCCTTCTCTAAATTTCTTATCTTTAGTTTATTTTCATGGTGATTTAACTTTTTTTATGAAAAAAATTGAGTTTGGGAACACCATAAATATTGGTAAAATCCAGAGCGTATTTTCTCTATATTTTTCTCAAAGAGCCATTTATATGTTTTTTTAAATGATTTTTAAAAAAAAGGTGGAAATGAGATATATGTCTATATAGAAGTTAAAGAACCACACTTGGGTAGAAGAATACCCAGGCTAAAAGACGATAACATTTAAAGCCCATTACTCAAATTTGCCTTAGGCCCAAATATCCTGATATGAAATTATTATTCATTAAATATGGTAGAGCAAAAAAATTATTATGAGGGCTATATCAAACACATAATATAAAAAATAATGAGGCCAATAAGAGTGGGCACAGTTAGTTAAAGATTTGACTCATACTTTATAAGGGCGTGAGTTCAAATTCTGCTGGCCAATGTGAGACTTTATGGTGAATGACCTGTAATTCTTCCCATAAATCGTGAGATACTAGTGTCAAACCTCACCTGAATTTTTATTAATAAAAATAATAATATTCAATTTAAGGAGTTATATGAAAATTCACTTCATTTTGTAGGGGTCACAAACTAAATATGTGTATGTGTATATATGTATATATATATGACAAAAATCATTACAAACTATGACATCTATATGTACATTGTCGTATTATTAAAAAAGTGTGTCTTTTATGATTGTAAGAGTCAAACTTTTTTAATAATTTGACAATTTATGGTCAAGTGGTAATGTAAACAATTGAACGCTACTAATGTATATATTAAAATTAATTTTTTTTAAGCAAACATAATTAAAACTTTTCAGTTTTCAAATATATAATATGAGTCTTTTTTAATGAAAACAAAACAGAAGTGTTCAAATTTATACATCTTTATCAATTATATTATACTATGAGAAATCCGAAACAGTTTTCTTTTTTTAGATTACTTGCTGGTATATTTGGAAGTGGGAGAATCAGATTCACCAATTGGTTATGACATATGAGGTATCATCTCTGAATGAGAATGGGGGATAAAGTTTAAGTAGACAAATAAATATATCTGAGTGAGGTACAGGAATGAGATCCTTAGGATTAATTAGAGGTTATATGTTAATTACATATTATTGGACTTCATCGTATACCAATAGAAACCTAGCTAGGATCGATTGAATAAGTCAGATCAAGCTAGAACTAACTGTGAAAGCATTTCGTTGAACCATCTGGATTGTTTCCACCACATATGGCTGGCTAAAGTTGAACATTAATTGATGGGGCCTGAAAGGAATCCAGGAGTAGTAGCTACTTGGTAATAACTTTTTCGA